ACTATGAAAACAGTTGAAAAAGATTAGTGGTGGTCTGGAGCTGGTGGGTGGGAGGGATGAATAGGTAGAGCATAGAGGATTTGGGGGGTGGTGAAAACATTCTGCATGTTTCCATAATGATTGATACATGTCATTATGCAGTTGTCCAAACTCATAGAATGTACAAAAACAAGTAAGCCATAATGCAGATTATGGATTTTGATGATGATGTGTCACTGTAGGTTAAATTCTAATAAATGTACCACACTTTTCTTACTTTTGGGGGTAATCCTTATAATAGGGAAAGCAATGCATACCTGGGGGCAGGGGTATGTGGTAAATCTGTGTATTTCCCCCTCAATTCCTCAATTCTGATGTGAACCTTAAACTGCTATAAAAAAAGTCTTAAAAAACTGTGGGAAAGGTAAACAGCAGAAACAACAAACTGACAAATGAATTGTTCGCTGCAAGACATGACAAAATTTTTAATTATATGCTTAATACACAATAAACATTGGGTATTAAAATGTCAAATTATGACAAACTACACAACATTGAACAGTCCACTCTTAAACAGAGCATACACACACACACACACATACACACACAGCTCTCTGGTTAGTTAATTGCTGCTAGTACGAGGATGCACAGGTTAAAATGTCCATACATCAACTCCGTGGTCCCCACACATTTTGACTCCAGGGACCAGTTTCGTGGGGATGGTTTCAGGATGATTCAAGTGCATTACATTCAAGCTCCCATCCTGTTGTGCCGCCCCTGCTCCTAACAGGCCTGGGCCAGTGTTCGGTTGGTCCATGGCCTAGTGGTTGGGGACCCCTGCATCAGCCGATTTCCTGAAACTTTAGTTGAAAGGGGATGATTTCAGAATTAGTAAGACTACATGCATATGATTACTTTTGACATTATTGTTCTACTGTAGACAAAAAAGGGGCCCCATACTAAACCTGACTAGCTCAGGGAAGGCCTGCATGGTGGGCCTTAAAAACTCAGAGACAGAAAGAAACTACAAAGGATAGTTTGGATGTAAAAATTCCTAACAAAGTGAGTCATGGTGGTAGTCACGTCCTGGGCTGCAGATTCCTTGGGAAAGGTTAACCTTTACTTTAAGTGAGCCTATGTTGTTTTTTTTTTTTTTATCTTAGATAACATACCTTTGAAATATCAGAATAATCTCCTTTTCTGAACTTCTCAGGGCAAAATCCCCACAACCAAATGACAAGACCACAGAACCCCCCATGGTTATCTGTTCCTTAGTACCATCTCTATGCGCAGTAAATGTTAATTAACTCTCCTGTCCCCACCAATGTAAAAGAAGTGTGTGTTCCTCTATTTTGCTTTTTTGTCCAATCCCAGAGATTGCCCCATTTTGCTTTCTACCATGCCCTTAATCTACCACCAGTGGATTTCATGTAACCCTCCCTTCATCTCCTCCTTTTATTCTAATGTATAAAATAAGCTGCAAAAAAAAAAAAAAACAAACCTGCCTTTCTCTGGAACATTTTCTCCATCCATTGAGGATTTGCTTTCTGGTAACTGTCACCAGTTTGACTCATGTAAACTCATAAAAATTATCTATAGGTTGGACATTTCTTGTGTTGACACTATTTAAAACATAGTTTGGAAGAAAACATACTACAAGCATTGGTTTAGCATTTTTGTGGAGCATCTATTAGCATTTTCTGTAATATTCTTTGCCTTGTGGAAAGGAACAAGGGTGCTACAGACTGAAAAATCAAGATGAGCAAGTGTGTGGACCTGAGTGTGGGAAACAGCACAGTGGCTGAGGCAAGTTCATGTGCAGGGGGCAGCAGGGCAGGTCTGACACAGGCAGGCAGGTAGGGGCCGTTTGTGGAAAGAACTCTATGACTTCTTTGCTTTTGATTACTCACATTATCTCTGGTAAACTAAACATTTATTTTGGCTGTTTATATTTTCCTACCTCTCTTAGAACGTTCCTTATTTCATTATCAGTGAGCCATCTGCACCTATGGCATACATTTTCATCTAAAAAAATTTAACTTCAGCCTTGACTGTGTTATTTATATGCAAGATTATGTTAATCATCATGAACATTTTATGAAAGCAATATTATTATATTGATTTTAGAGTTAAGAAAACTGAGGGTGAATCTGCATGTGAATCTTACCTGACTCAAACTTCATTGTAATTTAATGGTCTTTGTAATAGTGTTGCCCCAGGAATGTTCCTCATAGACTAAAGCATGAGACAGAAGGAATCTCTGGTCCCATCGTTGTGAGGACCAAAGAGCACTCTGTCTCCCTCTGGAAGAATCACAATGCACTTAGGATATTAAAGTTTTTATGAAGTTCTGAAAAAAGAAATTCATTTCATTTTGTTTAAGTAGTTCACAAACTTTAGTTGTCAGTAATTTTTTTTAAAAAAAGCACTTAGCATTTCAGGGCATACTTTGAGAAACTTTGTCTTAGACTATATCGGGAGATCCTCATTAATCAGAACTCAACTCACCTAGAATCCAAGAAATATAAACCTTATTATATACTCTCGAGTCAATGTTTGTCGGAGTGAGGCTAATGACTCATTAGGTTATAAAATTAATGAAGTGGATCCTGACCGGTATTTGGGAAAATAAGCCCAAAACAGGAAACAAATAGGGTAGAAAATACCAGGGTTGTTGCATGTATAAGTATTGAATCATGAACATTTTACTGGGTCACAATGTAAACTACGTTTCTTTCTATGGTCATGGCCAAAAATGTCTAAAGCCACTGGTTTTGTGAAAGAACATTATTATGTCAGAAAATACAGTGATAACAAATGTCTGAACTTTGTAAAATTAACACAGAAAGGGCTACTGTAATGCCATAGCTAAATATAGTATTTGTTATTACTTAGAATTGGAGAATTTTAGAGCTGAAGTATGTCATAGGGAAAAACCAAAATAGAGTTTTAGTAACTTGTCAAGGTCAGAGAGCTGTTAGCTGGGCCTAGAATCCAGGTGTTCTGATTTGTATTCTAACATTCTTTGACTTCTCAGTGTAAATTGATATAACGTTTATTTACAGAACATGGATATTATTTATTTAATGAATAAGCAAACTAAGCACAAAATCAGCAAATCATTCTTGGATAGTAAGTCAATGACAGGTTGCAAAAGTGCTGAAGGCTTTAATTAAGGAAAAAAGTAACTTAGAGATACTTGAGTGCTGGGGTCTAATTGTAATTACAACTAATAACTAATTAACATAATACCCCTTGTAACTAGGCGAGGCCATTCAGTTATCTGGTTTCTCATTTGTATGTGTAATTGTCCAGTATATATGATTTTGACAAAACAGAAAACACATCAGTGAGCACAAAATCTTGCTTTGGGAAGTCAAGATGCCACTCTTAAATAACAAATCAAAGTTCAGGAAACCCTCCAAACTCACAGTTAAAAAAAAAAAGGAACTATGATTTAATGGAAGTATATCCCTTAGCAAAACAAACATTAGCTTCTACATATTTTATTTCAGGTAGGCTCCTGAAAGACTCTCTGCAGTTGAAGTCACAAAGCTAATAGTATAATTTGTGCCTAATCATTCCTCTTTCATGGTTTGTTTTGGGGAGGGAGTGTTTGTTAGCAGCTGGTCAGTGGAGGTCCGAGATATGTACGGTCCTTTTCCAGCCCTCTGCTCCCTGGAAAGCACCCTCAGGAGTCCACCCCAAGGGAGTGGACCTGGGTTTGGATTCCAGCAAACTCATCTCCCCAGGTCTCTTCAGCCCAGGTTGGTGTGATCTACTGCCTGGAAGCGCTGGGCCACAGTGGGCAGAAATCATCTGATAACTTAATCTTGGGGAGAGGAAGAGACGCTGAGGCCTGTGTACTCTAGTGATAAACAGAAGCAGCCGGGGAGTCAAGGAAGAGACACAGTATCTTTTGGAATGAATATAAACGAATGATGCATAAACAAGAACTTAAAGGGGGCAGGGACCACTCCCATCAAATGGGGCAGGCGACTAGTGTCAGGAGGGGAGATAACCAAGCCCTAAAGGTCTGGAAGTGCCAGGGGTGCTCTCGGGTGACAGGGCAGGCTGGACGAAGTGAACGTTATAAAGCCCAGGACCCTTCCTCTTCCTATAATTAACTCAAGCCTGTCCCACCAGTCCCGACTCGCTGCTGCCCCGGACCTGCGCCTCCCCTCGCCCGTCTCGCGGGACGGAGTGGATCCGGGGGCTGTGGGCCGAGCACGGACCACCCAAGTCCCGGCGCGGTCTCAAACCCCGACCTTGCCGGCGGCCCCGGGGTCCCTCCACTCCTGCCGGTCCTCCTGCGAGGGCCGCCGCGGGCGCAGGCAGGGGGCGTGCGCCCCGGCCCCGCGTGACGTGGGCGCCTCCGCGGGAGGAGCCGCCCGGGGGGCTCCGGCCTCCTTATTAGCACCGTGCGGGTCGCCCGCCGCGAGCAGACGGCCGCCTCGCCAGCCACCGGAGCCGGCGAGCGGCCCACCCCTCCCACCACCTCCGCCTGCCTCCTCCTCCGCCCCTCGGCTCCTCCCGCCCCCACCTCCGAGTGCGCGGCGGAGTCGCCCTCTCCCTGCCTCTTTCTCCAGCTCCCGCTCGCTCGCCTGTCTCGCTAATACTTCCCCCTGCTGTACTCCCGGGGACCCAAGCATTCTCCGCGCTAACCTTAGGGACCCATGGTGCTCGAAAAGCTTAGAAAAAGCCGCTCTGGGCAGAGATAGTGGAAGCCCCAGTCCCTTCCCCCTCTCCCGGCTCAGCCCGTGCCGGGCTCGCAGCACCTTCTCGCTCCTGCTCGCTCCGTGTGGGAGGACGGGGTGAGAAGGTGAAGTAGGGAGACCCGCGGAGCAGAGGGGGCCAGTCTCAGAGCTCAGATTTCATTTTCATTGAAGCAAAGCACAGAAGATCCGCTTTTTTTTTTAATTCTGCATTTTTTCTTTTTAATTTTTTTAAAAGAAACTTATTTTGGGGGTGTGTGCTCTGGGCACTTGCTTTGCCCAGTAGTTGAAAAGTGAACTCGACTCGTGATGGTTCTCCTGTCACTTTGGTTGATAGCAGCCGCTCTGGTACAGGTTAGGACTTCAGCTGATGGACAAGTAAGTGGAAAATAATAATAAAAAACTCAAACCCAACCTTTTCCCGAAAAAGTTCCTCCCCTCTTTCCCCTCCTCTCTTTCCTCCTCCCCCTCCCACCCTTCCCCGTTATCTCGTGCGTTCAGGAACGAAGTTTTGAGGGCTGGGCGCAGCGCGCGGGGCTTTGGGGGTGGGGGGTTCAACTGCACGAGAGGTTTTGACTTGCTCTCCGGGAGCCCCGGCTTGTCACACCTAGGGCCCCACGACTTTGCGGCATTCGTAATAATTCCTGGTGACAAGCTGCAGCCCATTCGCATCCTCGCCGACCCGTCTGGGCTTCTCCTTTCCGGAGGGCAGTCTGGGCGCCTGAATGAAGTTCTGGACCTGGGACTAGGATCCCAGGGCTCTGGTTGCAGCGGCCGGAGTCGGCTTCGCGGGACTTTTCTCTACTCACTGACTCACAGCTTTTTCGGGCAGCCAGAGGCGGGGGTTTCAGGAAGTCCTTGGGTCGGACGGGGAACGATCCAGTAGACACGTGTCCTGGGAGCAGTGCGGCGGGGCTGGGGTTTGACAGTTGGGGAGGGGGCTGGGGACATTTCCTGCCCTGCATTTTCCTGGGCACAGGCTGGAGGCGCCGGCCGCTTTTCTCCCCTCCCCCTCTGCACAGCTCCTCCTCTTTAAAGCAGAGTGCAGCTCTGTTTCTTTTTGGCCCAGCCCCCACCCTTCGGAGACTCAAGGTGAAGCCCGATGCTCTCAGAAGAGTCCTTCAGAAGGCTGAGCTGCAGGAGCCCAGCCATTTGTAGTAATTCAAATCAGCACAGGGCCGGCGGGGCTTTGGGTAGAGAAAGCGTCTGTGAGTTTCTGTAGCTTCTCCGGTCTGCCTGGTCTGAACATATAGAATTGTCTGTTCTTGACTTGACAACTCCCCTCCCCCCCTCCTTTATGGCTTCTTTTCGCACGTGTAATATAGAGACTGTTTTCTGATCCCGATCCAGTATCTGGAGTTTTAGTTAGAATAAAAATGGGCAAACAATTCCCTGCTCTGAATTGTTACTGATTTGACTCTTGCTCACGGTGCAAGAACCTTCTATAAACCCAGGTGCAGCCTTTAAAGGGCACCAATCCCAGTATCCATCATCTCCTGATTAGCTACCTCCTGAAAAGCATTAATGGTAGAAATAAGACACACCGGGTGATAAGATGAAACTCAGTAACTGTTTCTTTTTCTTTCTTTCCCCTCACCTTTCCAGGCTGGTAATGAAGAAATGGTGCAAATAGGTAAGACTTGTTCTCAGATGTCACTTTTATCTTAGCAGAAAGTAGGAAATGAAGTAAACTAAGTAAAATATTGTTTCTGAAATTTCTCCTGTGGTTGAAAAAATTAATTTGTAGCCCTGGCTGATGTGGCTCAGTGGATTAAGTGCCGGCCTGTGAACCAAAGGGTCACTGGTTCAGTTCCCAGTCAGGGGACATGCCTGGGTTGCAGGCCAGGTCTCCAGTAGGGGATGCTCTAAAGGCAACCACACATTGATGTTGAAATAATTGATTTGTAGTCTAGGAACATTTCTGTGGTCTTCCTCTTTCTGAAGGAGAATTCCATGTTCCTCAGGCTGAATTAGAATAAAAAGTCTCCTGCAGTTGGACTTTCCAAGGATTATTTTATTACTGTCTTTGGACAAGCGACTGGTAGGTTCTAGGACTTCAGTGTAGGATTGGGAGAAGACATGGAGATAAATAAAATTAGATCAACCTGTGTAGCCTTAGGAGAAGCTCAACTGATTAGAGCACAGGATAGAAGTGTAAGAATGCTACAAAGAGGGAAAATGAAGTACAGAGGATGGAAATTTTTCTCTTAAAAATGTTACAGCTTTGAATAAAACCTCTGATGAATTCCCTTATTCCTTCTACTTTAAAATGATTCTGTACTGATGTGCAGGATACTGTTAGGCCTTTTGCAAATAACATCGAAAACTTCAGTATTATCTGACAGTGTGGTTATGATTCCCATTTTATGGGTGAGGAGACTGAGGCTCAGAGAGTGTAAGTGACTTGTAACAGGTTGCTCCAAAGTCCGTGGTCTTTTTTGGACCTGTTTATAAAAATATATTTGTTCTGCATTCAGAGACTGAAAGTCATCTGGCAAAGAGCCGTGCTCCACTCAAAGCCTTTTTACACACATTTCACTTGGGTTACTTTAAGAGATAATTTTTCTTTTGGGCAGGGTATTAGTCTGTGTAAATTCTGCATTTGTCAAGGGATATTGTAAAGTCATCCTTCAGACGAAGAGTTTTTATTACTGCAAACATAGTGACAAGTCATTGCCCATGTACTGTGTGCCAGGCAGTGCTGATTGATTTTGTGCATTATGTCATCTAATTCTTGCAACCAAACTATAAATTGTGGACACTCTTGTGCCATTTTAGACTTAAAGAACATGAAGTTTGACAGGTTACATAGTTGTCTGCTGTAGTGCGTAGTGGAGAGCTGGGGGGGGCTGCAGTTTAGGAATTCCGTATGTGTAAACTAATGGGCAGACCCCAAGATCCAGCTCCAGATTAGCTGTATGTCTATACGGGGCTGTGTATCAGCCTTCCTACTCACTGCTTCCCATGGTTGGAACACTTCCCCAAGCTTAAACCTTCATAGTAAGAGCAGTACAGAGGGGGAGAGAGTGACAGAGAACTGCATTCAGAATAGTGTCTATAGAGAGACCTTTGTCATCTGTACTTGATAGCACTCAGCCATCAATATACATTTTTTTAAAAGAAGGATTTTCAAACTAGTAGGGGAAAGAAAGCTGTTTTACTTTTAGTACTTAAACATTCTGTTACTGAAACATCCCAACTTTTTAATATGTAAATTTAAAAACTCTTTTAAGATAACCCATTCTACTGAAGGAAAAAGAAAAACTATTGTTTTGATTAAATGTTCGGATAGAATCATCGTGCTGTCATGTAAGATACCTGGGTTACACTTTGGTCCAGTGCTTTTGTTACTAAAAATTTCCTCAGTAGCCCTTTTCTGCAGGGAAGAAAGTAGTGTGAGTGCCTAAAATCTGGTAGGAGGGAGGTGAGTAACTGGATGAAAGAGAGGACAGCATGCTCTTAGGTTGTGTGGATGGAGATTTCCTTGCTCCCAAGCTCCTTAGCTTGTTGGGATTCCTCTCCTTTATTAACATCATTTTAATTTGCCATTTTCAGGTAGAGTGAAGAGAGAAAAATACAGATAAAAATAGATTTTGACTCAAGTCTTGTGATACCAAAAGTGTCAGATTTGGAAGTATATTTTTAAAAAGTCTAATGTACAATAATGAGGCTTCTCTCCCCTGTCCCCACGTGTAAAAGGATTTGCTAATAGGGAGATTTGGTAAGAAGCACACCTCTGAAATAATTAACATTCTATCTAGTAATTGATTTAAAAGTGATCTTATAAAACTGCCCAGAGGTTCTATTTGATTAATTATATAATTAGAAAAGACTAATAAGTTTTATAGAATTAATCAATTTATATTTGTTGCTAGAGAAAATTCCATGGCTCTGAATAAGTTCTGTGTAATATAATGTCTCAGGAAGAGAGCAGTATAAATTAGTGACAAGGCATAAATTATTAGGAAGCTCAATTTTAAAATGACTTTCTATTGAGGTATAATATGCACACAGGAGAGCGCACCTATGTGTATACCTAGCTGATCCTTCATGAGGGGACACTCCCATGCACCTGGACCAATAAGGACAACATTACTAGTGCCTGTGCCACTGTCCCCTCATGAAGAGTAACTACTCTCTTGACTTCCAACAGAAGCAGTTGATTTTGCCAGGTTTTATTGTGTGTGCTTTTTATAAATGGAGTCCTACAATATGTGCTCTTTAGTACCTGGCTTAGGAAACCAATTAAAAATATATATATATATATCTGATATGCTTTCATAGACTAGAAAGGCTTTTATTTATTAGGTTGGCCAAAAAAAACTTCCAAATGATGGCTTTAGTAGCACTTAGTTGTCTTAAACTTCATTTAAAACACTTTTGTTAGATTCTGTTGTGACAGCTGCCATATCACATCAAAGTTGGTGAGTTTTTGTGCAGCTATTTTAACACTGAATGTAGAAGAAAATGCACAACAGTTTGGGTGTATTAAGCTTTATTACTTCCAGAAAGGTGAAAAAGCAACTTTCACCAAAAGGTGACAAATGCAAAAAAAGATTTGTGCAGTGTATGGAGAAGGTGCTACAATGGATTAAATGTGTCGAAAAGAGTTTGTGAAGTTTCTTGGTACTACTGACATTGTCGCTAAATAATTCTTTGCTGTGGGGCTGTCTTATGCATTGGAAGATGGTTAGCAGCACCCCTGGCCTCTACCTACTAGAAGCCAATAGCAGGAGGTAGCAGACATACTAATATCCAAATCAATAAAGTTATTGGTGAAAATGAAAAATATGTCTTTTATTCTATGGAAAAAGCTAAATGGACTCTTTGGCCAACCCAAAAGGTAGAAAGAAGGCAGTTTGTCATGGGGGCAGGAAAGAGTATGTACAGACATATCACCTATATAGTATATTACAGGGATATTGCTTCTTTCCTTCTCTCGCTACCCAGTGGGAAAATGCCCTCTTTTTGTGTAGGCAAGTACGATTCACTCTAGAGAAAATGGTCAGATAGGTTTTGAACTGTGATCTAGATCTCTCGTCCTTTACCAACCCGGGAAGAAATACCTACCTACTTATTATACCATATATACTTACATAGACCCATCCATAAGCACTTACATGCACATATGCATGTATATGCACTGTGTACATATGTGTAGGTGTGTTCCATGAGGTTATTAACACACTTTCATGGCATATCAGTTCTTTCGTTTCTGACTCAGAATATGGCCTAGGGTAACTGGGCAGCTGGCTGGCTGCCATACTCGGGTGAGGAGGCTTGCTCTGTGACACATGTGGCTTAGAAAATAATCATAATTCTGTAGAACTTGGAGCATCTGGAACAATCCTCTGAGTCAGTTTATTTGGTAAGTGACCATTCTGAGCTTGCCTGAGCCTTGTTAGAGGAAAAATCACTGTGAGCCTTTGGTGTCAAGCTGTCTTTCTTCCATCACCCCTTCTCTTGGAATTGGGGCGTATTCATCTTTCGTGCCTATTTCTGCTTCCCAGCTTCAAATTCGATTGCATTTCATTCTTAACAAAATAAAATTATTACTCTTGTTCTCTCAAATATACAGTGTACTGAGAAATAGTTTATTAATTTGTAGGCATTTACTTGGCTTTCAAGGATTAGTGTGAGTCATTTCACCTAGTCCTTGGCATGTAGTAAGCATTTCCTCTACTGTAGTCCTCATGAGAGTGCAGATGTTGCCTTGGTGACTGCTAAAGCAGGGCTGGGTACCTTGTAGGTGCTCAAATATTTTTTAAAAATTTTTATTTATTTATTTTTTAGAGAGGGAAAAGGAGAAGAGGAGGGAGAGAAACATCGATGTGTTGTTGCCTACTGGGGGCCCGGCCTGCAACCCAGGTGTGTGTCCTCAACTGGGAATTGAATCGGTGACCCTGCAGGCTGGCACTCAGTCCACTGAGCCACAGCAGCCAGGGCATCAGATATTTTTTATTCAATGAATGAATCTAGCAGGCAGGGTATAGCCACACTGGGATTTTTCTGTGTTCTGGATTTCTTTACATGCTCTTGTTCTGTGTCACTCTCCAGGTTTAATTGGTCCACAAGAAACAAGGATGGCCACAGTGGCTATACAATTAATTATTCAGTGTTGTCAGTACTTCTTTTCACTTCACAGAGCTCAGGGACCTAGGCTTATTGGCTTTTATGCACTTTCCTTTTTTGTACTTCATAAGTATTTGGCAAATTGGATTGAATTATATGCAAATTTCGAATGCCCACTAATTTCACGCTAAAGTCTGCTTGGGATCATTTGCCCTGTTGCTGGCATCAGGGGAAATAAAATTAGCTAAGATTTAAGTCTATCAATCTGGTTTGTCAGCAGCAGTGCTAAAGGGTGTGGTTCAAAGAAGAGTTAAACAAATCCTCTGTAAAATTTAGAATTTTAGCTACCCAAGCCATTATTCTTTATTGTGATTGAAGGTCATGCACACACCTGCTTTAGCTTCCATCTGTCCACTGAGCATCATAATGGTTAATATTTCTGCTTTAAGCTTCTTAGGTGAAGATGATATTAAAGTCAGCATGTTATCTATCACCAGTAACTTATTATTGCTATTTATCCGAAGTATTTCTTCCACATACTTTCAGTGTTTGCCCTGGTCA